ATTTATTTATTAATTTAATTTAATTAATTATTCAACTACAAAAAAGTCTTTTAATTTTTTATTTCTTTTTTATAGATATTATAAGTAAATATATATATTGTTTCTTATTTTTAATTTTAAAAAATTAAAAATAATTACTTTAAAATAAAAAATTACTGTATAATATTTATTTCTTTACTTGACATTTGAGTAGTTAGTTTTTTTTTTTAAGCAAATATAAATTTAGTGAAGGGATTTAAACTCAGTATCTAAAATTAAAAATGCATTTTTCGCAAAAACTTATAATCAATTAGTCTTCTAACTTAGGTGCCTTTTAAATAATTAGTCAAGTTAAAATGTTAAGGATGTTTGTATTATTCTAATAAGAATAGAATTCGGAATTCAGCTGCCATTTTTTTTTCATTACTATATATATAAGAGCTGATTACAGAACCCTAAACTACATTCTTTTGCCTCAAGTCTTTGAAAGCAAGAAAATTCAAGATCATCCATGTCTGCCGCCAGCCAGAAACAAGCCTCAGCCCCGACATCATCATATTATTCATCACCTTATTTCTTAAGTTCATCCGCTAATCCAGGAAACATCCTCGTTTCATGTCTGCTTAACGGAGAAAATTATCCAACATGGCGTTGGGCAATGTCGAATGCACTTCGTGCCATGAACAAGTTTTGCTTCGTTGATGGATCTTTGCCCAAGCCTAATGCCGAAAATCCTGACGTGAAAGTTTGGGAAATCTGCAATTCAATGGTCATATCTTGGTTGTTTAATTCCATTGCCCCGGGATTACATGCTAGTGTTGCGTATTTCGAAGATGCTCATGATATGTGGGATGATTTAGAGCAGAGATTTTCACAAGGCAGCAATACTCAAAGAGCAGTACATGAACTGAAGAGGGAGATAGCCAGAGCACGGCAAGGTAATTCATCTGTTGCGGCTTATTTTGCCAAATTGAATGACCTATGGGAAGAATTAGGGACGTATTCGAAGGTTCCAAAGTGCACTTGCGTTGCAGCCAAGGATTTTGATGAAGTGGAAAGAGATCAAGTAAGATTGCACCAATTTCTTATGGGTCTGAATGATTGTTATAGTGATGTTTGTTCTCAAATTTTAAGCATGGAGCCGTTACCAAGATTGAACAGTGCATATGCCTTGGTTTGCAAGGAAGAAAAACAACAAGTGTTGATAGCAAGCCGCGAACGCTCAATTGAATCAGCAGTCTCTTCTGTTGTACAATATTTAAATGGGATTCATGGAGGGAATACAAAGAATGGATTTCAAGAACAGTCCACAACCTCGAAAAGGTATGAACATTGCAAGTGCTTTGAGTTAGTTGGATACCCAGCAGGTTGGCAAAGCAGGGGGAGGTTTTTGAAAGAACATCCCACCTTGTCTAATATACAGGAGAAGACAGAGAGCAGCAGTGATGAATGCAATGCATCGTCATCTTCATCATCTAGTTACAGGATTGTAGAGCGGGAAGAAGTTGAAAATAGGATCAGCAGAGATGGGAGGGGTCGAAGCGGAGTTGGGAAATTCTCAAGGGAGGAGCAGCTGATTCCTACAGAGCGAATGGTTGCTCATGCTTTAGGTTTGATTCGTTTGAAATGCTCAAGGGATGGCTTGCTTGAGAACGCAGTGAGGGAAAGAAATTTGACAAGGCCTAAGGCCCTTTAGTTTTCTCACCCAACTAAACTACATCTATCAGTTCAGTTCTATTTCCTTTGAAAGTTAGGTCTAAATTCAAGTCATGGAATGGGTAAATGAGCAAGGGAATATGTAAAGAGATGGAAGAGAACTACCTCTATTTTGTAACCTTCGATCAAGCTTATTATTCCATGTACATTAAAAGAAATCATTTTAAAGAATTTTAGATAAAGATGTAATTGACAAGTACAATGGTTATTATATTCCATGATTATCCTCAATTTTAAAAAGAATATAAGGAATTTAAACCATTGATGAATTCAGTGGCTCTGGTTGCCAAATTTGATCCTAACTTCATTGATGTCTATGAGTTCAAATGTCAACTCCTGATCCATGCAGATCTTCGAGTAGCAACTCTGCATTCTTAAAATGGAGACCAGTGATGCCAACTTTTGTTGCAGCTTCAACATTTCTGATCCTGAGATGCCAACCAAGCCAAAAGTTAGTAAGAGAACTCCAGTATGTCTGTGTACCAGTGTATGAAATGTCTGGTGATGAATGCTTCCAATAATTTTGGATGATACGTTTCATCAATCACCACAGTTTTTTCTACACAGCTTCTTCAAAGTAACTTTAGGATGAATTAGTTTGATTATTATTGCACTTGTTATTCGATGTTCCTAGTACAAGCATAGGAGAATAAATTTACAAAATTATTTGAATGAAAAGCCTGTGACCGTGAGTGGCAGTGTGAAAATAATTTTTAGCGACTCTTGAGCAACTTAGAAGAAATGTCAAATTAGCATCGCTTATCAAATTAGCATTGTTTATCATGCCATGCAACAGTGACGAGACAGAGAGATAAATGTGCATGTAAGCAACCAAGCATGCATAAGCGTGTAAGACACAGATTGGTTATTGCTTATATATGAATTTCATAGGTTCATAAATCATACAAAAAAAAGGTGGGACAATGGAATTCCATTTTTCTTTCTTCTTTTTTTAGTGAAGGGTTCTTTGAAAGCTTTAGCTTCTAACTACATACTTGGGTTAGCCAGCTTAGCTGTCCACTTCTTCTTGGCTATTGAATTAACTTGGACCAGGCTCAATAATGTTGAATCAAAGCTGGCTAGCTAGCTTTTTCAATTTAAAGGTTTAGGTCACCATGCAGTGGTGCAGGGCTTATTTATGATAGAAGGAGGTTGAAGCAAGAGACTCCCTATTTTTTTCTCAGTAATAGACCTCAATCAGGGGAGTAATTTTAGATCCAAAACTAGATACCATTAAGTTTGTCTATGTAGCTCATCCAAACCAACTCAACACATGAATTTTGTTTTCACATTCTAGTAAAATTAATTCTCAACAAAAACAAACTAATGTACTGCTGAGATTAGGTGTGGATGCTACCTGTCATCAATGAAGATACAGCTTGCTGGATCAACTCCAAGATGTTTCAAAACTTCCAGATAGAAATTAGGATCTGGCTTCCTCTTTCCTGGACATATAGTAAATGTCTTCAAACATTCATGGTAGTGGAAAAAATACAGTTATAACCACAAAGCAGGAAATCTACTCCCATGAATATAATTATTGTGTGGAATTACTTTAATAGTGACAGCCACCCAGGATTTGATAATCTATCATTTCCTGAGGTGGGTACCCAAAAATAACATGAACAAAGAAAGGAATAAATTTGGGGATGAATTCATATTGTGATTTGTGAACCATGTAACCAACAATTAAAAGGAGAACTAATAGTTGCCAGCTCTGGCGGATTCTAGAAGTAACCACCAAAGGTTAAAGTGTGCATGAACATACCATATGTGCATGAACAAAATGTCCAGGATAAATAATTTGAGACCTTTAACTTGTCCTCAATCATTTCGTACCTGAAATACATATGTACAAAATATAATACAAGCATTGGTCAATTCCACTAAATTAAAATAAATGAAAATTTGTCTTACCAGATGGGATAGTTTGTGAATGCATGCATCTCATAGTTATCTTGTCTTAAAGCACGTAGCAACTGTTCAACTCCATCTAGGTAGGAATATCCTCTTCTCATACAATTTTTGAGGCCTACAAAGAAATATTCGTTAAATAAATACCATAAGAAACTGGAATAGAGCAGCAAGGTGAACGGGTATGAAACATAATACATTGACATCCATTTTAAATTACAAGAGAAAAGCAAAGAAAAACATATATGAAAACCATTGACCAAAAAAAGGTTCTACTTTACCTGATTCAAAAATCTTATATGATTCACCAAACCAGAATGGATAAA